CTGTAAATGCGGGCGGTTGTGCTGTCAGGCGAGCGAGCGAGCGAGCGATTGCGCGAGCGGATACTTCCAGATTTGCGTGGTCGAAAAAAAAGCGGAAATTACGCGGTCGGATTGAACGAAGCGAGCGAAAAAAAAGCGATCGAAATCCGGAAGCGGGCGGGAGGTTCGGCGAAATGAGTACTGTATCTGCAACAAGCCATGCATGGCACAGTCCCTGTTAGTTATCAAATTTAAGATATATAGTTTTGTTTATAGTAATATAGCTGGAATATAACCATATCAGGAATATGATTTTTTAACATTAAAATGATCGACATTTTATCTGATCGTCAAACAAGTACTTGTCCATATTGAGAAATATTGCTCTTGGAACAGCATTCAAAATCAGCCATTTTGAATACATGTATATCTATGACATGATGTATAATGAATATTTAAAATATGAACATAATCAATGAAAAGCAAGTCAGAGATATGGCACGAGAACCACATTCATTAAAACAAAATGGCAGCCAGTCGGCCATTTTGAATCTGATCTGAAAAACAAATATTATTTGCATCAAGGTCCCATAATGTCTAATGTATATACCAAGTTTGAACAAAATCCATTTGTAAACAGCCGAGAAATGCTTGATTTTAGGATTTTTTAGCACATTTGGCCATCTTGAATCAGATCGTAAAACAAATTGACGTGCATATGTATAATATCATGTATGATGTATGTGTGAAGTTTGATTGTGATTGGTCCAGGCATTTCTAAGATACAGGTCCGGGCACACGCACGGACACACGGAGGTCAAAACATAAGTCCCCGTTTTCGGACTGCATCTGAACGGGGACCAATAAAAAGTCACATGACTCTTGCCAATATGTCGTATGTAAGAATACTAACTTAAGAAAGCTAAGCTTAACTTTTAATCAAAGTACAAATTCTTGTGTACAGTGTGTTGTACTGTACATGTGTGATTGGTTGTGATTTTACTGAAATCATAAGTTAGGGTAGTTTCTTGATCAAAAAAAGGTTGAATTGTTACTTTCTATGCTTGTTTTATCTATTACAGTAAAAATGCTATGAACCCAGCCATCATTGTAAGAGGAAATAACAGCAGAATCTTTCCTGAAAACTCAATTATGAAAACCACTTACCTTTTTAGTCTAGCAGACACGTCTTTATCATCCATAAAACACTCAATATTAATTGGCAACTCATTGGGATTAGCACTCATCTGTTTCTTCATTTTCTCACATTCTTGTCTGAGACGCATCAATGCCCGCATTTTAGATTTAGCATCAATCTGTTTACATAACAATGAGACCTTGCTGTAAGTACAAGAACCTACACTACACCTCATACTACATAACAATGAGACCTTGCTGTAAGTACAAGAACTACACCTCATGCTGGCATCCCCAAATAGGACGTTTCTTTCCATTTTTTTTTATTCACATTTGTCAAAACCATCAATACAAAGTACTGAGTCTAAGAAACAGGTCTATTATTAGAAGTGATTGAGTTCCTGTTGTCATGAATCACATTACTGTAAATATTTAGTCACCTATTTTTTGAACATTTTGATCTTCCAAAGCCTTTCACTCTTCCCAGACACCTAAATTAGAGTATTTACAATATGTGCAAACCAAACGTAAGAAAACATTCTTCAGAAATGTTGTACTATTATATTAAGGGGTACCTTAGCCAAGACTTAATTCTCTGTAGTGAAAGTCTGTATTCATCAAAGCATTTGTTTACTTACGTTGTATTTCTTCTTGAATTCTTCAGCAAAATAATTCGTTAGTACAGTATCAAAATCACGACCACCTAGGACTGGATCTGCAGCTGTAGCTAGCACCTAGATGAGAATAAATTTATGGACATGTAAACTGGTAGTTTGAAACAGGTCATCATCAACTAAAGGGAAATACAGAAAGTACAACACAGATTTAAAATTGAATGTCCGTAAAGACTGTTTTTCATGCAAGATTATTGCAACAGAAATGCATGGGCACATGTCAAAGTGTCCCATGAAAATGATGTGTCCGAGATGAGAGAGACAACCTAAACAATTGTTGATGTGAAGTTGCCAAAAGATCTCGCTTTTATTATAGCACACCCGTGAAAGTCCTTTACGCATTGTATATGTAGAGACTGCAGAGGTGTGCAATAAGTATTCAAATACATCTTATTCAGCTTTCAAATTCATGTGAACACAACTGGGATTCCAATGAGAAGTCCACACTGCAATGTTTCTAATTAATAGTTCTAATACAGAGCACTGACAAACTGTCAACTACCGCAGACTCCAAGCAGAAGAATCATCAAGTAGAAAGCAACAAAAAAGTGAAATGAAACAAACTCACGAGGAGTCAGATAATGACCGACAGTGATAAGGTTTTAGAACACCAATGTTTCACACTACTGACCAGCAAAATTGTAATGAGGTGGTCTACATGAACCACAGGTAAAAAATCTAAATTCTAACCCTGAACCGGTTTTACCTTCAGTTTTCCTTTATGGAATGCACAGGCAGCAACTTGTAAGGATGAATGACCCATGTCAACAAAAACCACATTCCTGGGCTTCTCTTCAGGGACTGGCAAATCTTGCTTGTAGATACCATAGGCCAGAGCACCTGAATAACAAAATTACCATTAATTTTAAAATGCATGACATATATTTATTTCCTAGATGGGAGACAAACTGAAAGTTACAAGTGATCAGATAGCACTCAAACGTCATTGGGTTCAAGATAGCACCGTGTACCATCCCTGTGATGTCATGCCTAAAAAGCGAATAGACAATCACCAACCCAAGAAGCCAGTAAAACACTAGCCCACTTAGGTTAGTAGAATTGAATACCACAGCCTGATATGAAACCAGGTGCTGATTGGACAGATAACACAAAGCTCAGAGAATGGATTAAGCAGTTTTCCTCATTTCACTTGACTAACTACTTTTTTCATGACTAGAACATGACAACTGTATAATTACCATATTTTCCCTATTAGAAATGCATCTAAAAAAATGCATTCACTGTAAACTGAATGATTGTTATATGATTAACAGTACTCACTGGCTGTGGTATCATTCATCAGTCTTAATACATTGAGTTCAGAGATTTTGGCAGCATCTAGAAGAGCTCTCCTCTCAGCATCTGTGTAATAGTTAGGTACCTGTAACCAGACAAGATAGCACATAAACATAAGAATGAATACAATAGAGAGGGAGAAAAATTAAATCAACCCACAAAATTAAATCGGTTTACAGTTTTAAACACATTGAGCCTACCCAGCTCCAAAATCCAAATAAAGTTAAACTCTCATTTATTTTATGCAACTTTTTTTGTAACACCGACTCATTAATAAGAGTGGCTACAATTCAGACCACATACAGAGCAGTGGCAAAGAGCACCTCCCAAGATTGATAAAGTAAGAAATCTTTTCTGGCTCATTTATAATTATCTTATTTGTCCTACTAGAACAACATCTTCTTCAATAAAAGAATACATGTTTATTAAATGTTAATCAGATCTAGTGTGCAACTTCTTCAATATAACATTGAATGTCTATTTGCAATGGTGCTCTTGGCAAGACTCCGTTCAGACCAACAGATGTACAATGTGGGCAACATCTCAGGAGATACTAAGGCACCAGTAAGCACTTCATGTAGCAGTGAGTAAAATGTCCGAGATGAGAGAGACAACCTAAACAATTGTTGATGTGAAGTTGCCAAAAGATCTCGCTGTTATTATAGCACACCCGTGAAAGTCCTTTACGCATTGTATATGTAGGGACTGCAGAGGTGTGCAATAAGTATTCAAATAAAATACAAGTTTTAGTCAGGTATCAACTTACAGATAGTACACAATCAGCTACTTTTCTCCCAAGTGCCACCTCAGCAGATTGCTTCAGTTTTGTTAGTAACATTCCGGTTATTTGTTGTGTGCTGAATACTTCTTCTTCACCCAGATAATTCGCCTTTAATTAAAAAATATAATAAATCATTCAATGTTGATTCCAACTCTGCACTACTGAGCATTTTTCTACATATACATGTACAGTCAAAAACCTGTGACAACCTTTATACAAGTCATGAATGACACTGCCTTCGCTAGTTGTCATTCTAAAGTTGCATGGACATAAATTGGCAAACATGATTTCTATGGCATTTTCAAGTTTATAGCACTCTCCATCCAGGTCAGCATTATTCTCAGCAAGGAAACCAGATAGCACCAAACCAGTACAACAGGTAAAATGACAAGGAAGTATACAAATCAGATCTGCAAATATGTAGTCAGTGTTGTGTCTGTTTGGATAAACTAGTTTGTGGCCCTGGATCAGTTTCAATATCTCTAATAAGGACAAGATTACTTCTCATACGACAATGATACAAATAAAGTACAAAAATCCAGAAGAATATTATCAAGTTTTTATTATCATACATTAATATTAACAAATCGTGTGAAATTTTATGTGCAGAGAAGACACATATTTATGCTTTGGTTGACAGAACTTCTCAAAGTAAAAAAAAAAGAAGCAGCCCATCGGCTGAGATAGCTCCGCTGTTAGCAATGCACATTTCAATTAAAGAACTGAAGACATGATTAGAAAATGAACAATATGAATAGTATCAAAGCAATCAGACTTACAGTTTTTAACAAGAAGTCGAAAATATCACTTTTTACCAAAAAAATTACAAAAATATTCACCAAAATAAATTAATTAGAGAATTGAAGATATCATCACAAAACGAACACATCTGAGAGAGGTCCACATGTAGTACCTATATATGTAATATCAAAGCAATCGGACTTACAGTTTTCAACAAGAAGTCAAAAATATCACTTTTTACCAAAAATGACAAAAATATTCACCAAAATTAGAGAACTGAAGATATCATCACAAAATGAACAAATCTGAGAAAGGTCTACATGTAGTATCTATATATGTAATATCAAAGCAATTGAACTATTGGTTTTAACAAGAAGTCGA